TTTTAAGCGTTATTTTGAGCATTTTGTGGTGAAGGTACCAGGAGGAGTGGGCCGATATTCTCCATCTTCGAACTTAAACTAAATTTGGAAAAATATTAAGATGGGCAAAGTTTGAATTTTGACCATTTTGTCGGGGAGGTAACAGAAGGAGTGGACCGACGGACATGTGCAAATCGACTCCAAATTTTCTGAAACGGATTTAGTCTATCAAAGTGTATAAACCCTCATTAGCCTAAATATTTTATATTGCGTTTTCGGTTTCAATTTAGGTCTTGTTCCCATATATAAATCAGCGGTATTAAAAAAAGTCAACGTTTGTTCGATTGACTTGGAATTTCATATAGACTTGTGATTAATTTCTATACTGACGTTTTTTTAGGTTCGATTTAGGTTTGGTTAGGGTGTTCTTCGAATATTGTTGTCCTACTCAAACATTCCCTATATTGTTTTTATATTTTCTTCTGATAAAAATTTGGATTTTTCTTCATATCAGTATGTGGCAAAATACTACCGTACCGTTGTGCTCCTCAAGCATTGATCCTTAACCGATTGTTTTTTTTTTTATTTTCTTCTATATGGCAATTATTAGAAAATATAAGATCTAATGAAATTTATATATTTTTTTTCTAATCAGAAAGTGACAGTGTTGAACAGTACTAAATTGACAAGAAGCGTGTGAGAGTGTAAGTAAGAGATAATCATCAACAGTAACTGACCAAAAGAGAAAGAATGATAATACGTGTTTAGTGGCGGAAAAATGACCCCAAGCTAAGCAGAGATAATTTATTTAATTAATTATTTATTTTTTGTTATAAAACTGCGCTATACAGAAGTTGTTGAACATATAGAAACAGTAATCATATTAAACAATGACGACTGCATTATGATATTTGCATTGTAAGCTAAATAAAAACAGATAACAAATTGTTGTTATCTAAAAAAAATAAACAAGAGATAATTTTATGACCACCAGGCAAGGCAAGTAAAATATTGAGGGGGCGAGGTGGGAAGAAAGCAAACAACTGACGACATACATATACATACTGCAGAAGAACAAGTTGAAGAAAACAAAAAAGAAACAAAAACAAATGTATAAACAAAACATCAACTTGTCACGTTCTCCATACACGGCCAGCCAACCCAGTCAGACCTACTCGAAAATGTATTTATATAATTAAAAAAACAAAGAGGAGGCAAACAGGCAGGTATACACAGTCAAGCCAGTTAGTATATATTATAGACATTTTAGTTAACCAGGCTACTAACGGCATTGTTGTTTATCAACAAAAAAAAAAAATACACACAACCACCAGGCCAGGCCGTTCAGTCAGACCAATTATTGGTGGGGTGTTATGATATACACACACATAAAAATATATATTATAATAATATAAACTGTTGTTGTCTACATGTCATAAAACAAGTATAACAATAACAACAACAAAAATAAAACAACAATAAAATATAACTCCATGTCGTTTTTTTGCTTCTTTAAATCTTGTCATATTATTATTATTTTTTTGCCTTTAAACAATAAAGCCAGCGCGATAAGCATTTAAAATGTGTGTATGAGTGGAAGGAAGGGAGACTGTGTAGAAAAAATAGAAACAATATTCTGCTCCAAAATAAAGTGTATCCTCTCTATATAAAAGCAGATAAATTTGTTGATATTGTGATGATGATGTTTGTTGTTGTCGTTGTTGTTGATGATGATAAGAAATAAAAGTAAATAATGATAAGTATTAAAGTGGGTTGCTGCAAGAAATTACGTCTTAAAGTTTAAGTAAATATCAACCATGGAGATTCTGGAATTTTCTTGGAATTTAGTGACTGAATGATTTACGTAAATGATCATCATCACCATTGGAGTTGTATGCATTTGTGGGAGTATGACTCAGTGTTAGGGAGGGAATTTCATGGAAAAATAACGATAAACAAGCTAAAAAAGTGTCAGATGTATACCACCGGCCTACGGTTTCTGGTGGTCTACGAATTACTACACACTGGTTTTATTATGTCTTTAACAAATAGTTTACCATCTGTGGAGAGGTACCAGAAGAGGTTGATATCTAGAAATATATGCTTAAATGTTTGTGGGGGTAAATAACAAAAGCAGCGAACCGATAGATCCCATTTCCGTACATGTTCAAAGGTTTATTAAAACTATTAAGATTTGCAAAGTTTAGATCAAATCGGATAATACCTTCGTTTGATATTGCATTAATAAATTTACAAAATTTGTACAAATTGCGGGGGAGCCAGCCAGCAGTAGGTGTGGACCGATGGGTCCCATTTTCAGAATTATTACTTATTATCTTTGCCAAGCCTATGCAAATATAATAAGTTTGGTTCAAATACGATAAAATTAATTTTCAGCAAAAACCATCAATCAGTGGACCCATCTTCAAACATTAATACAGTTTGATAAGAAATATTACGATGTGCAAAGTTTGAAATCGGCTCCTCCATTCGAGAGATGACAGACGAACGGACAGACATTTGTAATTCTACTCCAAATTGTCTGAAACGAATTGGGTCCAAAGAAATATGGGGTCTGAAACCAATATACAAATGAGGCCTATTTTTGTGGTATTTTTTCTATAGGGAAAATTTATCTTGAGGTTTTCAATAAGATTTTTATATTGGAAAAAGTCAACCTGATGGTCCCAGAAAATGTTTTCTTTAGAAAAATGATTAGTGAGGGCCTGATGAATTTTTTTCTATAGAAAATGTCTTTCTAGGCATCAATGGATAGGTTCTATAGAATTAAAGGTTTATTAACGGTCCCAGATAGTTTTTCTTTAGAAAACAGCATCCTGAGGGTCTCAGGAATTTTTACTACAGAAAACGTTCTTCCTTGAGGTCGTAGGAATTTTTTTATATAGAAAAAGATATTCCTATGTGGCTTCTGAGGATTTTTTTCTATAGAAAAGTCTTTATGGGCATCAAAAGAGAGGATCTATAGAATAAAAGGCTTCTAAAGGGTCTCAAATTCTTTTTCTATAAAAAAAATTCCTGAGAGTCCCAGGAATTTTTTACTATAGAAAACGTTCTTCCGTGAGGTCTTAGGAGTTATATAGAAAAATATATTCCTAAAGGACTCTTTAAGATTTTTTATAGAAAAAGTCTTTCTGGGCATCATAGGAGAGTATCTATAGAATAAAAGGCTTCTTAAGAGTCTCAGATTCTTTTTCTATAGAAAAAAGCTTCCTGACGGTCTCAGGATTTTTTTACTATAGGAAAAGTTCTAAAGGCTTCCGGATTTTTTTCTTTTATAGAAAATTATCTTTTATAGAAAATGGGCTTCTGGAATTATTTTTTAAAAAAAGACCTGCTGACTGTCTCACGAATTTTTCTATAGAAAAATAGCTCAGGAACAGTAAATATTTTCTATATAGTGCTGAAAGTTCTGAAGGGTCTCAGAAATTGTTCATGTCTTTTTTCTAATTACCCCCCAAATGATGTGGCATTTTAGGGTTAAAATTACATTATCATTTCAACATTAAATTTCACTAAAAATATTATAGCATCTACCGGAATTTTGTTATGGAAATTTCAAGTTTTATTTTGGGATTTAAAAATTTAAAAAAAATTCAGATACAAACATTTTAATTTAATTTCATGCTAATATTATAAACAAATATGGAACTCAATTCATTCCCTCAATAATGTAAACATTTGTTTTTAAAAGTAAATAAATCTCTAAAAACGCGATAATTCGCCCATTTTCTTTTTGCCAAACACAATGGAAACCTTTCTGGAATTTCGAGAAAAAAAATTAATTACGATATGGCAGCCAGGCAGGGAGGCAAATAGAAAACGACGAGTCGATAAGAAACAAAACAATCAACAACAAATATCCAATAAGGGTGAGAGCGAGTGAGTGAGAGAGAAATACACAAAACAAGACATATTCCAATTAGAAGAGAACAACTTTCCAATTGAACGAAAGAAACTGAGTAAAGTGGAGACGTTTTTTTAGGAGAGAGAACTATGTTTATCTATCTCATTCACTCTCAACAATGGAAACAAAAAATAAACATATTAATAAAATGGCTGAAATACGACAAGAATAAAAAAAACATGAAAAAAAACGAACGAACAAAAACCATAAAATAATATTACAGAAAATGGAGGGGAATTGGAATTAACAAAAAGAAAATTAGATTACATTTATATTTGGTTTCTTTGAAAAATTAGAAAAAAAGTAAAGAAAAACAAAATAAAATTCTCAACAAAAACGCAAACAAAAATTTTTGTGGAAACTTGGAAATGGAAATTTGGGGTTCGGTCCACATAAAAAATTTTTAATAAGAAAAACTTGTGTTTTTGTTTATTGAATTTAATTTTTATTTATTTCTTTACTTACAACAAAATACTTTCCCCTCTCTTAATACTGTTGTGGTTTTTGGTATTTGTTGGTGTGCTGTTGCGGTACCCAACCAACAAAATAATTGAAGGTTATTTTTTTTGGTTTGATTTTTTTACTTGCAAGTATTTTTAAAACGAAACGGGTTTAGTTCCTTTTATTTTCTTCTGTTGTTTTTGTTGTTGTTGCTTATTTCTTGTAACTTAATTGCAATGAATACAAACAAGTAGACCGACAGACAACTTTGCCGTCAAAATCATCATTTACGCCACACACATTTGTTGTATATATACTTATGTGTACTATATATGCAGAGACGTAGAAAATACACACACTAGTGTATATATTTGTGTGCGTGTGTAATCTATATAATATTCTGCTTCTTTATAACCCACAAATTAATTTACAAACCATCATCATATTTATTTTTTTATTAAAAAAAACTAACGGCCATCACACTCTATGAAACGGAAAAAGGATATTTTCACCGTTTCTTTTTTATTTCTCTTTTTGTACACCACCACTACTTTAGCAACAATTACTCATCATAATCACTGCAAAATTTTTCTTCTTCTTCATAATTCTTTTTGCACTGAACTTTTCTTTCTTGCTTTTTTTTCGATTTACTTACAGTTTATTATTCATTTGTGATGGCATTTTTACTCTTAATGGTTGCAATTTATTAGAACACAAAGAAGAAATTGTTGTCGGATGTTTTATTGTAAACTTTTTGTAGTTGTTGTTTTTCACACACTTCTTCACTTTTTGCTAGACTAGGCTAGAGAGTCTTTTTTCTCAAGTGGCAATATCGTTGTCGTCGATTGTTTTGAAAAGAAAACTGACGATATTTGTTCAATACGATTCAATTTATAGAATTTCTTCGTTAAATTTGGGTTTTATTGGAAGTCGACTTTGGAGAGTTGACAACTACAAGAGAAAGAAATATGTGTAGAGATATGAGCAACTGAACAGTAATTAGTCGGGTAATAGGGATGTTCACATGTGGTAATATATCATCAGATAGGCCTTAACAACTTATAAATTACAATGTTTTCAAAAGAGAATCGTAAAGTTGCACGTATAAACCAGACAAAGCGTGAAATTAAAATATATATATATATATATATTTTATTGATAGTCCATGAAAAATATTTCTTTCAAAAATCACGGATAAGATAAAGCATGAACATTTATTTTTTTTATCTCACTTTTTTAAAAATCTCAGAAAAATGTTTATAATAAAAATATTCTTTACCATAACATTTTTCGAATTATTTTAACATTGTGTAAACCTACCTTGTGGCCTAGCATCAGTTGCCTCATCCGTCGCGTCATGGTGGCCCTAACATCAAATTCCCTTATTATTTCGAAACATTAACAAAATTTGAGAATGAATGCGTAATCTTTTCAAAAAATTATTAAAGTTCTTCAATATTTCCGATTAGTTGCTGCGGCACATTCGATAATATACGTAATGTCGATAACAAACCTTTAGCTCTTATTTTTATGATTTGCTCACAATTCTGTGCGCAATCGATATAATTGTCCTTTGTTTACTTTAAAATTCAAAAAATTTGCTTTTAAAAAATTACTTCGATTTAGAAGGCAGTATAAATGTTGCAAAAATCTATTTATAACTTGCGAAAATCGACTTAAGTGTGCCTTGTTAGATTCGTCGACAATCGACCTAAATATTCCTATAATATTCAATTGTTATTGACCGTTAGTTAGCAGCGGCAATGGGGATGGCGCGGAGCCGTGAGTAGTGTAGCTGGCTGCCGTGCATACGAAAACTCGAGTTCGAATCCCGGTAGATGAAAAGTGGCATTTTGGACATTTTTATAAAAAAACATACACGCCATACCATTTCAAATACCACTACTCAAAACCCCTCTAGCCTAAACAAAAATAAAAATTAAATATGGACAACCGGAATATAAAAGGGCAGAGAGAAAATTTATTCATTCGGTCTTTTCAACATACATCGGGGAAATTCTCAATCTCATCCATCTACCTCCATGATTTCAAACATTTCAAAATCTGCTAGATCGTCTTCATCATCAACGACCATAGGCTCAATGACTTGGTTCGCCTCATCACAAGACATTGCTTCAATATTGCCCACCTGTTGCTGGGGCACAGTGGATAGTAAATGTTCATTGCAGGGCAAAACCATAGCTAGGTTGATGGTTACTGCTGCTGGTAGTATTAAAACGATCATCATGATTTCTGCTAGTGCTTGGTTGCTTATAGAAATAGCTGGACGCTCAGAAATATTTCCAGCCAATAACTTACTATATATTAACAATATAAATAAGGCCAATGACAAATCGTCAGCATATGAATTTGTTCAAGCAGAAAATCAAATCAATTTCGTGAACCCAATGAGACGGGCATTCGCCGCTAATACTATTCTAACAATATAAATAAGAACAGAATCGTCTGCACAACAAGCGGTGGCTGATGTGCAAGCCGTTAGGCTGCGATGGAGTGCTAAGCAGAGAACCACATCAACTTCTGAATACGACCAACGAATTTAATCAAGTTTACTATATAATAGTAAGAAAATAAATATACGCACTTGGCAAGGAAATAATTTGAATCAGTCCTCAAAGGGTAGAAGCAGTGAAGCCATGCAATCTCAGATCAGAATGTCAGTGGATGTAACAAAGTATTTCAATGTGACTTTCGAATACACATAAGGTGCTTACTCTCATCAGATTAAATCCATCCAAAGTCACCTGTCAGCAAGCAAAAAATAAAAACCAAAATCGCCACAACTAATGGATAACCGGAATATGGAAGTGCAGTGAATCAGACTAGTCAACATCCATTAGACAGATTTTCAGCCTTAACTATCTACCTCCATTATTTCAAACATTTCAAAATCTGCTAGATCATCTTCATCATCAACCACCATCGGCTCAATGGCATGGGTCGCCTCATCACAAGACATTGCTTCTATATTGCCGACCTGTTGCTGCGGCACATTCGATATTACTTGTTCTTCACAAGCAATTACATTGCAAGGCAACACCACAGCTAGGTTGATGGTTACTGCTGATGGTAGTATTACAATCATCATGATTTCTGCTGGTGCTTGGTTGCTTGTAGATATAGCTGGACACTCAGAAATGATTCGAACCAATAACTTACTATATTAACAATATAAATAAGGTTAATGAGTCCTCGGCGTGTAAAATTGTCCAAGCAGAAAATCAAATCAACTTCTGAATATGAATGCTTTCTAAACCAAGGAACCTCTCGCTCCAATGGGACTGGTAATCGCTGCCGATACTATACTAACAATATAAATAAGAACACAATTGTCGGGATAAGAAACAGTCGCTGATGGTGCAAGCCGTTGGTGTGCGATGGGGTGCCAAGTAGAGAAACACATAAGCTTCTGAATACGACCAACGAATTTCATCAAGTTTACAATATAATAGTAAGATATTAAATAGACGCTCTTGCCAAGGAAATAATTTGAATCAGTCGTCAAAGGGTAGAAGCAGTGAAGGCATGCAATCTCAGATCAAAATGCCAGTGGACGTGACAAAGTATTTCAAAGTATTTCCTCTAGCCTAAACAAAAATATAAATTAAATATGGACAACCGGAATATAAAAGGGCAGAGAGAAAATTTATTCATTCGGTCTTTTCAACATACATCGGGGAAATTCTCAATCTCATCCATCTACCTCCATGATTTCAAACATTTCAAAATCTGCTAGATCGTCTTCATCATCAACGACCATAGGCTCAATGACTTGGTTCGCCTCATCACAAGACATTGCTTCAATATTGCCCACCTGTTGCTGGGGCACAGTGGATAGTAAATGTTCATTGCAGGGCAAAACCATAGCCAGGTTGATGGTTACTGCTGCTGGTAGTATTAAAATTATCATCATCATGATTTCTGCTAGTGCTTGGTTGCTTATAGAAATAGCTGGACGCTCAGAAATATTTCCAGCCAATAACTTACTATATATTAACAATATAAATAAGGCTAAATAACAAATCGTCAGCATATGAATTTGTTCAAGCAGAAAATCAAATCAATTTCTGAACCCAGTGAGACGGGCATTCGTTGCTTATACTATTCTAACAATATAAATAAGAACAGAATTGTCTGGACAACAAGCAGTCGCTGATGTGCAAGCCGTAAGGGTGCGATGCGGTGCCAAGTAGAGAAACACATAAACTTCTGAAAACGACCAACGAATTTCATCAAGTTTACAATATAATAGTAAGATATTAAATAGACGATCTTGCCAAGGAAATAATTTGAATCAGTCGTCAAAGGGTAGAAGCAGTGAAGGCATGCAATCTCAGATCAAAATGCCAGTGGACGTGACAAAGTATTTCAAAGTATTTCCTCTAGCCTAAACAAAAATATAAATTAAGTATGGACAACCGTCTCATTGGGTTCAGAAATTGATTTGATTTTCTGCTTGAACAAATTCATATGCTGACGATTTGTTATTTAGCCTTATTTATATTGTTAATATATAGTAAGTTATTGGCTGGAAATATTTCTGAGCGTCCAGCTATTTCTATAAGCAACCAAGCACTAGCAGAAATCATGATGATGATAATTTTAATACTACCAGCAGCAGTAACCATCAACCTGGCTATGGTTTTGCCCTGCAATGAACATTTACTATCCACTGTGCCCCAGCAACAGGTGGGCAATATTGAAGCAATGTCTTGTGATGAGGCGAACCAAGTCATTGAGCCTATGGTCGTTGATGATGAAGACGATCTAGCAGATTTTGAAATGTTTGAAATCATGGAGGTAGATGGATGAGATTGAGAATTTCCCCGATGTATGTTGAAAAGACCGAATGAATAAATTTTCTCTCTGCCCTTTTATATTCCGGTTGTCCATATTTAATTTATATTTTTGTTTAGGCTAGAGGAAATACTTTGAAATACTTTGTCACGTCCACTGGCATTTTGATCTGAGATTGCATGCCTTCACTGCTTCTACCCTTTGACGACTGATTCAAATTATTTCCTTGGCAAGATCGTCTATTTAATATCTTACTATTATATAGTAAACTTGATGAAATTCGTTGGTCGTTTTCAGAAGTTTATGTGTTTCTCTACTTGGCACCGCATCGCACCCTTACGGCTTGCACATCAGCGACTGCTTGTTGTCCAGACAATTCTGTTCTTATTTATATTGTTAGAATAGTATAAGCAACGAATGCCCGTCTCATTGGGTTCAGAAATTGATTTGATTTTCTGCTTGAACAAATTCATATGCTGACGATTTGTTATTTAGCCTTATTTATATTGTTAATATATAGTAAGTTATTGGCTGGAAATATTTCTGAGCGTCCAGCTATTTCTATAAGCAACCAAGCACTAGCAGAAATCATGATGATGATAATTTTAATACTACCAGCAGCAGTAACCATCAACCTGGCTATGGTTTTGCCCTGCAATGAACATTTACTATCCACTGTGCCCCAGCAACAGGTGGGCAATATTGAAGCAATGTCTTGTGATGAGGCGAACCAAGTCATTGAGCCTATGGTCGTTGATGATGAAGACGATCTAGCAGATTTTGAAATGTTTGAAATCATGGAGGTAGATGGATGAGATTGAGAATTTCCCCGATGTATGTTGAAAAGACCGAATGAATAAATTTTCTCTCTGCCCTTTTATATTCCGGTTGTCCATATTTAATTTATATTTTTGTTTAGGCTAGAGGAAATACTTTGAAATACTTTGTCA